TCTTCATCCCAAAAGGGCCAAACGGGGTATGAGAAACGAGGAGGGCGAAGTAAAAGACAAGCGTGCGATTAGGCCGATTGAGGTGCAAGACACTCCTTGCCGCGGCCGCATCAAGATTGCTGTCCGCCATCGCACCACCCAGGAAGCTCTCAAACAGCTCCCGCATTTTGTTGAGCCCGATTGAGCGGCCCAACGAGTCTATATTCTTGCTGTATGCTCGCTGAGGGGTTTGACAGGCATGTCATAGGTCATAGTTGTAGCAAAACACATATGAGGCATACGCGACATGTACACCCAATTCAGGGGAAGAGCTGCCATCGTCTCCTCGAGAGCGAGAACAGAGTCAAGCATCTGGTGGATGACCCTCGTCAGCATCATCGGAGGGTGAGTCTGCATGGCGACTTCGATAGCAGATGCATCACTGGGCGAATCTTGAGCATTACACCGCAGGGACTCAAGATGCTCGAGCCGCTCATAGACCCATCTGTATGGAAAGCCGTTAAGGAAGCCACGCGTTTTCAATTGATTTGCACCATCCCCATGTCATCGTTGAGCTATAAGTGAAGAAGAGACCATCATCGGCAACACATCCGTGCGCACACGACGGTCGGATCAGGCGCCTATAGACTACAGGCGCCTCTATGACTCAATGCTCGTTAGCAGACGTAGCTCCGCTCAGATCCAAAGGGAGAAGGACCGGCAAGTGCACGAGAGGCAGCAAAGTCAGCCAGACAACACTGCACACAGGACGTCATTTGCGGACTTCCAGCTGACGCTGATGAGCCAGCAGAGCCAAAGGCGCTCGGACAGTTTTGACCCACAGCAGACAACATTGGTCAAGATGACCCGGCCATTCATCCGACACGTTGACTATTCAGATGAGGGAGGTGAGGCGGAACAGGCTCCTCCACCCTCGGAACCAAGTGAAGGTGTAAGTCTCATATGTCTCTTATGTGAATCTGGCTGACTACACGTGCGGCAGTTTGGCAATGGCAACGACAGCTCCGAGGGAGACGGACTACTCCCAGCCAAAGACGTGAGCAACTTCGGAGACGACACCACCGGGAACCATGAGATGAGGACAGGCAACGAAGATACGAGCTACAATGACGAAGAGGAGTTTACCGGTTTTGGAGATACATTTTGGGGGCTTAACGCAGACGTAGACAGCAAATCTGTTTTAGGTGGTGACGGTGGGGAGCAAGGCAGTAACGCGCGGGCGCAAGTGCGTGAGTAGCATCTGTGAATGGACGCTTGCCGCTGCTTGCCGGCGCACGCACCTTCTCTTTTCAGCCTGCCATGGCTGCTGGCCCAACTGCGCGCATGAGCGCACCTACGGTAACACCACTGCCAAGGTAAAACAACCCTTTCTCAAGCATATACGCCTCTGTTAAGACATAGCACAGCGAAGCTCCGAGCAAGCGCGCCCGCGAGTACACGGCAAACGCAAAGGCCGCCACGCGCGCGGCGACAATGTCAGTCGCCAAGTGTTCGACTCGGCTGGTCGACTGAAGACGCACTTTGACACAGCCAGGTGTCGCTATTGAGTTCGATGGCAAAGCGGCTTCTCGTTGTGGTGTGCGTGCGGAGAGGCCAAAGAAGAAGGAATACACGCAGGGCGATTTAGATCCCGAGCACAAGAAGCTCTGGTGCGTCTTTCAGACTACGTTCATCTCCTACTGTGACTGTCTTGGCCCTGACCAGCTCAGACACCTTTTCGATAACGACAATCTGGCCAAGCACGTATAAACCTCGCCCATGCATATCTACCGCAACCGGTCGCGGTATCTCAAGAAATTCGGGCAGAACAAGCCTGTGTACGAAAACGTGCGTACTCGTTTGTTCTCTTTTTATATCAACGTTAGTACTTACAACAGTCTCTGTTAGACTGGCATCGCTTTGCCCACTTGGCGGACGGCCATCCGTACAACGGCTGACGCTTTACTTGCTAAACATGGGCGCTGCATTCGTTCACGATGCGTCCCCCGCGAGCAGTGAAATGTCACACGGCGAGGACAATGACAGTAGCTAGTATGAGCTTATCAGGTTTATGCGGCGAGTCTACATCGCGGACGGGGTACGCCGCCCTTGCTTCGTACTCGCTTTCACATATCTGACATTATCTCTAGGCAAAACGTGGCAAGTACGAGTCTCACCTCTTCCTCCAGGTCTTTGGTCTATGCCACGCATTTCTCACAAGGTACTTGCGCCGACACGACCTTCCACTAAGATCCTGACCGCATGTAGTATCCCATACAGGCTCTTATCATGTCACTGATTGCAGTAAGACCATTCCAAGTCTTCTTCTTCCTACATGCTCATCAATCTTCAGCGCGGTTCATCAGTACATTTCCTCCCGACGTTCAGTCGGTGGCCGAGCATATGTCTTCAGTCAATCTACGCGCCAGTCGCGCGCTCGTGCGGCAGTGGAAGTCTCAGATGGCGAAGGCCCCGATCAGGTCTGATCCGCCCTGCTTGGTGAATATATCTACTGACTATCAGTCATTCAGATTCACACATCCGTTCACGTTCACGACTATTATATCAGCCACTCCCCACAGTCATTGTCAAGACGATGCACCAGTTAGCACAGTGATCGGCTCGTTACGCCACCATCCTTTCCGCCCTGTTTCTTACATCTTTCGACGTCTCTTGTTCAATTTACCTGTCGTACCTCTTACATATAATCAACATAGCCTACCTGCTTACTAGCGCTTATGTGTATCGTTCGGGCGAGCTTCCCTCGGTTATTGCACAGCTTGACTGTCGGTTAGGTACGTACTTATGGGACCATTTAGCTGTTCGGCTGCAAATTGCCCAACTCGCCCGACTCGGACATACCATAAGGGCGGTTGAGGGGATTCACAGTTCGGTGAGTTCCGGAGTTTGCCACCTGCTGAAAGTGGCGAAACTGACCAACAGTTAGGGTGACGTTCTTAGGCAACTAGCTGATGTACCTACAAAATACGGCCAATGCGGTGTGCGGTTCTCGGCGTCGCCGTCCGGCAAGAACAGAATGCAAGATCGTCTGGGCAACAACTTCCGCGCCAATTGTCAGGCTGAGCAGCCAAACTGGTTTAGAACACAGTAGGAACTGGCTGATGACTGCCAATGTACATTCACAAGAGCTCTTCCGTTTGATTTGACCCCTTCGACTTACATGACGCTACAGTATTGGTTTTGCAACATGTCTGCCATAGGGAAGCGCCAAGCTGACGGCCGACGCCCGAACAAGCGAGAGGCCGCCGCTGCCGTGCAGGCGTCGCGTCTGCGCAAGCTCCGTGCAAAGGGGAGATAAGGCGAAGCCTGTCGCCTACCCGGTATGCGAAGTGAGCTTGAAGGCCGAGTTCAATGAAGACATTGAAGAGTGCATATAGAGAGACGCTAACGGCTGCTGACAGTAGGGCCTGTTATGTTTTTGACTCGCATCATTTGAAGATGAACGCTGACTGTTCGTGTCAGATATTTCACGCCGCTTGTTACGCCGACGCCATTGCTTTTTCAAGTTCACTGGCAACATGCTTAACGAATGGTCGTCGCTCACTTACACCTGAAACGCACTCACCATCGCGTGTCCAGAGGTCGGACTCGCCCGCACCGTCTGTGTTTTCCGGTGTGAAACGCAAGATGGAGGAGGACTCCGATGGGACTGGCGCTGCTCGGCTCGACAGCGGCATAGGTCTTCCATTTTCACGACCCTGCCTTATTCGACTTTCAGTATAGCGCAGACGGCTCGTATCTCGCCTGTATCGACCAATACACAGGAGACTCGTGCAATCTGTTGTATAGGTGAAGCGTGTTTTGCCGCTGAGCGAACACATATGGAGCACGGCGAGCTTGACGGACTTTGCTGCACGTATTGCAGGCCAGCTATATCGTTCGACGAGAAGAAAGGGTGCTAGCGTTTTTCTGGAGCACATGGGCGCCCACGCCATGTACGATCCCGCCATTTATCGTTCTACTGAGCCGTGTGGGCTGTGCCTGCAGTCATCCCCTACTTGCCAGATCTTCTTGAAGATGGGCAAAGGGAGGAATGCCATTCCCGCTGACCATATGGAGCGGAGCGCATGCGCAAACTCGATCAAGTTCTCGTATAGACCAGTATTCGAGTACTCGGACACAGCCCCAAGTACAAATTACCCCATCGTCTGCGATCTTTGCCAAGGGTCAGCACCTACGGTTTGGCCTTACAACTGGTCGGATCATCATTCGCGTGTGCACCCTCTGGCGCCTAAGCCCCGTGCTGTCGAAGACCCTTCTGTCCCTCAGCATATCGGGCTGCGCAACATAAAACATATCTGGGACAGTCAACTGGAGACAGCCAGGCAGAAGTCGCGTGCGAAGACAAAGGCCCAACGTGCCCCTCTCGTCACATCTGAGACGCATAGTTTGCGCCTGACTGATGGAGTGCGTTCAGCGCTATCGAATCGAATAGTCATGGTGCAGATATTGACTGTCTCTACAGGGAAAACCTCGAAGATATTGAGGATAGCGATAGTAGCATGGCGACGGAAGGTGACACATATGTCGACCCTGTTGTACACACGGCGCCATCGCAACTTACGCGACAGGTGAGTATCGCGCGTGGGGAAGACAGTACTGCGCCAAGCACTGTACAAGCCTCATTGGCACCGCACCACGCCCCGTACCGAACGGAACCCCATCTCACCGGCGAACCCGGTCCTCGCGTGTAGACGACTAGCCGACTGACGTCGCCCGCGTTCGGCTACAGTGAACTTCATCTGACATCGCATCCACCCTTCGTGTAGAGTTCTCATCCAGCCGTGAGTGCTGAGGATGACCTATCTTTTTTGCCCAGTGAGTACCCGTGTAGTGCGTGGTCGAGATCCTATTAACTATCACACATGATAGTTGCTTCAGGGATCAAGTCGCACAACAGTGCCAATGCGGCCGAAGACTCGCGTCTCCGGCAATCTAAGCGTACGTTAAAGCGCAGAACCGTCGAGCTCAGCACTTTTACCTATGGTCAGGAGGCAAGCAGGAACGGCCTCGACTCAATTGAGTGTACGAATACGGAAGGCGATGGCTGCGAAACAGTCTGGTTAAGCCGATTACTTCCAACTAGGCTTGCTACAACTGACATACCCTTAGTACCATCTCTCACGCGTTCAGGTCAAGTAGGATCCAAGGAAGTGGATTTGCGCATCCTGCGACGCGTCGTTGGAGAAGGCAAAGAGGAGGAAGGGAGAGAGGATGGTGTCGGCGGCGCGACTGCTTGTGTCTCGGTGTCGTCGCTTGGACGTAACGGACTTATCCGATTAGGAAGCATACCTGATGACGCACTTGGTTAGTTGAGCCCTCAGTTCTGGTCCAGAAGTTATCGACCCCAGGTCTTCCGTCGCCCTCTCAAGTCCCCCTTGGATAATAGAGATCATGATGGTTTTGAAGCTGCCCGTAGGTGTATATCATACGCCTGGGTATGGTCAAGATGAAGGGACGAAAGTATCTTCCTGTTTCGGTTGGGAGGTGGAAGGGTGTTGGGCATTGCTCACGTTGTTCATGGCCGTTTAGCCTCATCCGACTTGCGCATCCGCCATCATCATCCTTGTCTCCACAAGCTGTTCACCCATTGCCGAGGTGGTGGCAAATCTATCCGCGCGCTTTGAGTCTGTCCCCACTCTGTTACTTCAGTGGGATTCAAGAACGCATTTGCGGTGCTCATATCCCGCTTTACCTCCAGCAACTTTACGTATGCGGCTTGTGCCGCTACTATGCTCTTGGGAAATATGTCAGAGATGCGGGATAAGGAAAGGCACATATCTGGGAGGTCACCGTCTGCTGTGTCCTTTGCACGTGTGTCCGCCTCCTCGTTTACCTCGAAGCCTGCTTACCCTGCGACACACACCAGCTGTAGTTGCAGGTGCGGACGTGAATGTGGAACGCAGTGTAGGTTTTGTTATGGAAGATGTCCAGGACGTATCATGCTGTGCGGCTCACTGCGGGCGAATTGAGTGCTCGTATGGCCGCCTCGTTGTCCAGCAGTATGCATGCCTTGCGAGTCACATGTGGGCTATCATTGACGACATCCAGAGTCATCATGGTGCCAATCACCCCGGCGACAAAGACTGTGCGCTCGTAGAGGCTCCCTAGGTGAAGTCTCCACACGGTATGTCCTTGTGAGCCCCCGCCACGCTTTGCCACCGATGTCTCTCCAACAAGATCGTTGTACCCAGATCTATGTGAGAAGACACGGAAGTTCTGGTGTTCGAGCAGCATCTCGATGGCCTCTTTGCGGCTTCTGGCAACGATATTCATATGTGAACCGCGGGGCCCATGTTGAATTGCGATGAATCGGATCTAGCTATACACTCGAGGTGATCTGCAGTGGGGAAGGCATTCCAGGGACTCATACAAGTTTGATCTGTGCAATTGCGGGAGACACCGTCACGGCTCGACAATCGCTGTCAGCGGTTGTTTCAATGGTATAGCTGCTAGCCGTATAGTGGTCTTTGGAGCGTTGTGTTTGAGCCGTTGATCCATGAGCACGAGTACGGCGTGAAACTCCATCACATCGGTTGCTGTGGTTTAGAAGGAAACTGCGACGAGCCGAGCAGCGACTCGTTGTATCTTGGCTATCCGTTGTCTCACCTGTCCAGCTAATCCCTTAAGACGCCTCCTCCTAGGTATCTCCCTCACCAATTTTTACCAGCAAAACAGTCCGTACTCGACTCGCGGTAGTAGTGTGCCCGCAATGTACAGGTTGCGGATGTACTGCACCGGCAGCCCGAAGGTGGGATATGTCGTACGTGCGATCGCTTGCAGAAGGGCCGTGCCGTTCCCTACTGCCGTCTCCACATATCTGCGCCAGCATAGCTCGGATTTGAGGATGATCCCGAGACTCTTGGCTGATGACATCGGGTGTACCGTAATCTCGCCGATGCTGCAGGGGGAGATCCATGTGTCCGCCGTGGGGCTCCTTGTCCCGGGTGAAGTGTACGAGCTGGAATTCCTTGAGGTCGGATTGGCATGCAATGGTGTCGCGACCATTCAAGGCCAGGAGTCATGAGAATGGACAGGGCGGTGAAATTGTCCGCAATCGTCCCCGATGCCATCAACAGTGCCGTGTCGTCAATGAAGTCCAGCTCTGATCTTGCGAGAATTGCCGTGAGTCATAATCACGAGCAAACCCGCAGAGTATGACAGGCATATGATGGGCGAGCCGCCAGAGCGGAGATCCCTGAGGAATCCTCCGTCGAGACTAGAACTGTCTCGGATGTCAAGTCGTCGAACGTTACATGAGCACTGCGATCACTCCAAAAGTTTGCTAGCTACAGGCCGAGTTCTTCCAGGATGGAGCACGCGCGTAGGTCATCTTGTAGACGCTCGTGCGAGACTGTTGGGAAGGCCTGTGAGAGATTCTAAAACAAACCCCGGACCACCGATTTGACCCGCCACGCGTCTTTGATGCACTGAGTGAGCAGAGTCGCAGCGTTAGTGGTCGTGCTCCAAAGTGATGTGCGGGAAAAAGGTCGGATGCCTCAGCATAGGACGATAGTAAGCACCGTGCTATAACCAGCTCAATCACCTTGCTCAACATTACTTCTGGGGCGATACGGCGATATATATGTGACTGAGCATTCCGGAGTCCTCTTTCTCAGCGCGATGGTGCTGACAATGCGCCGTTGTCGCGGGTAGAACTTGAGGCGCACACTAGCATTAGCAAGATCAACGAGGGCTTGTCAAAAGACCGGCGCTTACTGGTTGGGAGAGCAGTGGAGATGCTGGACTGAGGGCTCACGGACTGCGTGTCTCGCCACCTCGGGATGACCTTGGGAATGCTCAACTACATCGGAATGTGCTCGACTTCGAGGGGCTCTATCGTGAACCTATGATTTATCTGTATCAGTACTGCTGAACTGCACTCAGAGCATGACTTCGTACCTATCAAGTATACACATATCTGTATCCTCCATGACACACTCAGTGTAAACATCCTAGACCAAACTCTCGACATCCAATTGCGGGTGAGCGGGGTTGTTGCGTCGTGCCAGACTCTGAGAATGAACAACACATGACATTTGCAACGACAGAAGTACAGCACAAGGCATAACATGACGTAAGACGGCAAAGCAAGATGACCTCCTGAAGGTTTATGAGCTACAGGAGGGGTTGGAAAGCAACACAAGAAGGAACAAGATGTGGTATGGTACAGCGTGGGATCCATTGCGACGAGCCGTCTGACAGGAGCCTATACGGCACACACTGGACACGCGTTTATGGGCCCCTGCGCATCTCCGCCATGAAATGCTCGAAGAAAGCGACGCGCTCTTCCAGATGTGCTAATCGGCCCTCAGAATCATGCGTGCGATGCTCAATCGCCAGTATACGAGCCGGAGAGAGACTCGGGGGTCCAGCAGACGTGTCGGACATCTGCCCGGTACAGTACTCCGTCAGGGCTGACGGCCCGCGTACTTCGCTCGCGCTCGCTGGGAAGCCACCCGGCAATGGACGGGAGACCGGGTGAGCACTCGATGACGAGGGCCAGGCAATCGCAAGGCCAGCCGCCGGCGTGGACATGCGAATGGTCGAACTCGCAGACGCAGTCGTGAGTGAAGGCGGTCGCGGAGGAGCAGTCGATGACGAACTTGAAGCGAGATCCTGGCTGGGTGGAGGCACTGCAGGCGTGCGAACGGGCGCAGGCGCATGCGTATTGGTCGCGAGTGGAAGCACTGGGGGAGGAGCGTATATGACGGGCACAATAGAAGACGAGAGTGCTGGCGGAGGCGCGCCGCGAGATCTAGGAGCTGTAGGAGCTGTGGCTCGACGAGTTCCTGAGACGCTGCAGGTCTCGCCGCCGATGAGGCATGCATTGCACGGGGGAGTGCCAGCTCTGGTTGACCGGTATCGTAAGCTGCGTACGCAGTCGTACTCGGGATATCTCTTCTTGCACGAACGACAGCGTGCATCTCCGCTCAAGACACGATTATTCTGCAGGTCAATCATCAGCGGCATTGGACGCCAAAAGGGAGGGCAATGACATACATCGAGAAGTTCCATTGTTGGACTCATAACCTCTTCAAGAGTTTTGTAGACTCGGTGAGAGTCGGGCACCGGCCCGCCAGTGGGGGGTGGAACGGGAGCGGGGTGAAAATAAGCGATGATCGACTCCCTTGAATAACAGAGTTCAATTGAACGATTGAGAATGGGATGCGCGAGGTAACTCACTCGCTGACGTTTTGATAAGCGACCCAGTGGTCATCAATAGGATGATGGTCTTTCCACCGCACACGGACCATAGGTAGCTATCGGAAGGTAAGTCGGGTGGGAGGGTGAGCCCAATCAAGGCTACGTACACGGGTATGTGTTGCGACGATCTCCTCGATCTCGCAGCGTTCTTCATCGACATCTTGCTCCTCGGGTGTGTCTTCCGCCTTCACCAACGCGCGAGGAAGAGGAGACAAAGGAGACATCGGTCCTTCTTCGGCGAGGTCCGCTACAGGGGGAAGAGGCTTTTCATCATCAAGAGCCGGCGCCGCCAAAGGCATTGGCGGGGCCATGATCGGTTGCCGCTGAGCCAGGAGCTCAGAGTCTGGGACCGCTTGGGGCTCAGACTTGCTGCCGGCCGGTGCGAGATGGGCGGTCATGTAAGTCAAGGCGATGGTGGTGGTCGTGAGGGAGAATAGCGGGAAGGAATAGGCCGCACCGCGGTGAGGTCGTTGGCGCTGAAGGATAGTGGATCCGAATTTGTTTTTGCTGAAGCGCCCACCATTCAATCATGGGAACGGATATACAGGACACGAAATCGATCCGGTGGGGCGTCAGGGTGACTTCCCCCGCTGAGAAGCAGCGACCTGGAAGTCGATCGCCAGTGAGTCGTGCATGCCAGTCAAACCACACGACCTGGCAGATGAATGCATCGAAAGAGGGTGTGCAGTGGCTGGGCACTGGTCGCCGCGGTACGGAAGTATACACTGTGGCGTGAGGATCAACGCGAGGTTTGATAGAGATGTAGAAACCTGATACAGTAAACGAACTCGTGCCATGCCTTCTAGCGTCGCCCGCCCGCTGCGCTATTGGTTCCGGACTCGGAATAAGGCGTACTGGAAGCCCGCGGGCGTTATGAAAAGCATCACCTCGTCGGTGGCCCTGCTCCGCAGACTTGATGGAATGAGGTGCTATGGCGAGGAGCGCGGGAAGGCTGTGCTGAACGTTGCAAGCGCGGGGGCACATCGCAAGATAGAGTTCATCGCGTCCGACCGGTCATCCCAGACCGCGTTCGTGCAATCTTATTTAGCTGGTCTGACAAGCTTCACCCGGACGAGCTGGACAGGCTCGAGGTAGCGCCGTCTAGCGTAACCTAGTCATATTTGAGATGCTGCGCGGCCAGACATGGCGGATGATGCTGCTATTAGTAGTCGTACTCTGTCTAGACGTGCCCGGAATACACGCGAGGATAGGTTTTTTTTCAGAATCTTACTTATCGCCGTGCGCGCTTCTGGATCGAGCATGCATGCTCATGGACGTACAATGACTGACGCAATATTGTATTTTGCTGCTACTACAGACGATACACCACGTAGGTACTCCGCTAGGATCCAGTCTCCCAACCCAGTCCCGCGTGCGGACCAGCTCCCATTGCACTTCTCCCAAGCGGCCGGGTGACTGGATGCGATGGGTTCCGACAGAAGCAGAGATCCGTGGTTCGATGGATGCTTGAAGGCTTGAAGCTGAAAGCCAGAATGATGTAAGATGTCGAAGCGATAAGGCGAGAATGATAAATAAAAGCACGCACCTAGTCCCCCTCGGCTACTCCGCTCCAGTATGACCTCCGCCCGAGCCCGCCGGTTACAGACAGCTTGGGCTACAGAAGGTATGTACCGTCGATTGTCTACCACCCTCGGCTGCTGCCAGAGAGGCGAGCTATTGCGATGGGTATGTCGCATCGCGGACTCCGTTCCCTTCTACTCGTCCTCTTCCAGTATCATGTGCCGGCCATTTAGTCGATATCTTGATGTATGTCCCGTTTCAATGAAGTTTCAGTGACCAAAGAATGCAGGGCGAGAGATCACGACGGATAGGCCATCGTTGGTGGTGGACGAGTGAGAAGCCGCGCGCCGACGTCAGGCCGCGCTGACCCCCACGCTCACGCGCTCACGCGCTCGAGTCCTAGCTCGCCTCCCACGTCCGTCTTCGGATCGGGCTCAGTCGCTCGAAGTGCTTGCACGGCTTCTCATGATTCTTTGTTCATCAATTTGCGACGGGCGGCATCCGTCTTGTCTGTATGCGCCTGAGCGATGGTTGTCTTACACCCGGCCATTTGATCTTCGTCTCATCTGCGTAATGAAGTTGGTTTCGCCACGTCCAGCCGACTAGACGACCCTGCATGTAAACAAGAGCTCCATCTAGTTTTGTTTGAGCCCCTGTACTAGCACGGTATAGACGCTCTCTTTGTCCGCCCACTTGGAGTGCACAAGCTCGAAGTAGGATACGCCCGAGTGCCAACCCTTTCGAACACCGCTTTCGGGTCCGGGTGCTACTTGCATGCCAGGTGCTCTCGCAATCGGACCCCTTTAGTGAACTCGTGCACATGAATCTACGGCCACGGCCAAACGCGCTGTAGATGCAGACCGATGATGACGCGGCACCGTCTCCCGTCTTTTGACCTTCAGCGCGCTCCTCAGTCTTTACAAATTCTCGTGCTGATGTGCCGACCACGTCTGTAGGCAATGACACGATGGTCGTGGAGGAATGCGTCAAGCTGGCTTGCATACGGCAGGATAGCTCGCTCACGCAAGTTGCAGAAGGTACCGGCGCGCGACCATGATGCTGGCCTGGGAAACGTTGTTCAGGACCCTACGAAGGCCATTGAGGACGCGAAGGATGGGGCTGCTGCAGTCGTCCCCGCACGCAAGCACGGACACCAAGCCTCGCGAGAGCCCATTGACCGGGCTGTTTACACTTACGAACCATGATCTGGGCGGCTTTCCTCAGCCCAGATAGCCTCGCTCGAAACAAGGAGACGACAGTTGCGATACTTGACAACATCATCTCGGACGGTTCCGGCCCTAGAACCAATATCCTCACGGAGGTGACGATATATCTGGCATTTTTTCGGGAAAGTGAGGGGCATGTTTTCACCGTACACGAAGACATGATGCTTATACTTTACGTCAGTGCTAGCTGTATCAGTGCACGCCGACCATCGTATGTATTAAGTTCATATGGTCGATGACGCTTTGTTGCTCCCGGTCTCGAATGACATGCAAAGGCGAGACATCTGGAACCGTGGTAGGCTTCTCCGATGCCGCCTGTATGTGCCACAAATCTCAAGACTAACTTGCGATACTCAGATCCTTGAGCTGCCCGCCGTCACAAGGCTATCCGTCTCTCAAGAAACATATGACGAGCCACTCGTCTCAAAGACCCAAACCCACTTTGCGCATGTACGGGATACTGTTATCTGCAGTTGTCACATGGATCCAACGTGGTTCTGACTCACTACTTCCCCTGTACATGGTGACATGTGGGAGCTTGATTTTACCGGTCCGTGCTTACTATCAGATGCGTCCTTCTGCAATTCTGACTCTTGTCTATCTTCCAGAAAGTGGACTGCGCGCTGCAGTCTCAAACAACATGACGCTTAATCCACACATCCACGGCCGCATCCTCACTTCGACAACGAACAGAATCAGCTACTTCGGCATTCCAGTTGTACGTGCGGATAAAAACGATGGTTGCACACGTACAGGGACAACGCACAGTCAGTAAGCCAAACATAATGCCCATGCATACACGTTATCACTGACAGCCTCCTCGTCGAGTCTGGCGTTACCATTTGCTAGGTGCGGCGTCAAGCCCGGGTACATCATCAGTTTCCTTGAACGAGAGCTACTTCCCGTCACTGCGCCACCATCCAACGCGCTTACATAGCTCTACTCCCGGTGACATCTGCGACAATATGGGTGTCTACCCGGTGTTCTGGATGTAGAGGATCGAGATACTCTCAGGCTGGATGTAGTCGAGCTGGCGCAGATGGTGTACTGGATGAGAGGAATGTATGTCTTAGTTTGGCGTTCCTTTGCAACCTGTGACATTGAAGTCGGGTGCAGTAATTCGCGCGACAGACCCTGCTATGTGGCATCCCACTCACACAGTCAGTCAATGTCGAGACCACGCCGCAAGGGATCTCAACGGACCTCCAACCTTCGGTAATGCAACGACTCAGTGGACATCATTCAACTCCACTATGCAGGACGGTCGATACGCCGAAGTTGACTGTACCCTCACGGACACGTACACGCGGCCTGCTGCTTGTGCGTCGTTTCACCGATCATTGAGAGAAATCGTTGGAGGGATCACATTCAATCCCTTGCATTGGTTCTCGAAGTTCGCGAAGACACGGTTATAGCGAGAGAGCACACTCATGTGCCTCCCTCGTGCAAGCGGGCTCGGATTGCCTTGCCGCGCGACTCCTTATCAGACAAGTGCCACACCAATTCTGTCGATGCCGCCCGGTCAACGATGCACATGGACCGCCTGCGAGCTCTCTATAAGCATGTCACAGCGGAAAGTGCCACGAGCACAGCTAGGAAGGTCTGCAGGAATGAGCCGAGTCTCAACAGTTGCAGACGAGGTGCACCGGCAGGCGCAGGTGTGTTCTTCAGGCCGGTAAATCAACATAACGTCTCGCGACGGGTGTCAGACCCGCAGACGGACAACCGCGCAGAAGTCTTTGTGGTCCTTCTATCCCTGCGCGTGGTACCACTGAACACGCCACTCAACGTATATGCGGACTCGGAGTACGCTATTCGGTCGCTTACTACATGACGCCCCGATAACACAAATTCCGGTTGGTCCTGCGCGAATGGAGATGTACTCCGGGACTGCGTCACCTGGATCCGTCCTCGATCAGCCCATATAGAGTTTGTGCATGTCGTGGCACACTCTGGCAGCAAGAGTATCCCGCCGCACTGGCTAAGCGTGGGGCGAGCCTGCCACCCGCCACTACGTACACTACAGATCGTCGTGCTGCGCCGGCACTTCCCAATGTCGTAGTAGACGTCGCCGTCTTATCACTCGACAAATTCCCGTCGTTCCTACCGCCACCTCTGGAGGTTGAGCAGCAACGGTTGCAAAGCTCGCATTCTGCGTCCCTGAAAGTGAGCGCAGTCGCGACCGCAAGCACAATAGTGAGGCCAAGAAGCTCAACCTACTTCTCGGTGCGGCGCGCGACTCAGGCTGCTTCTGAGGTCTGGGTCAAGGCCGACTACGATTGTCCGGCGCGGCAAGTGAGGGTATTGCTTGATGAGCCAACTCCCGAGTTCATGCGTCGTATGAACAAACCTGAGCAGCCGCCTCCGGCGCTACACCCTGCCGCGACAACCCTCGCGCGGATACAGGCGCGCAATCTCTCTTCGGTTACGCAGCGCATCACACTCGATGATTGCTTTTCGGCGAGGCTTATAACGTGGCAGACATCGCTTTGTTGAAGAAGCACATGTGGGGGCGTTTTCTTGATGGTGCACCCGCGTTCTTACGGCGTGGCGAAGTCGGAACTGATGCTCGTATGGAATGAGGATCTCGCCTCACTCTTCACTCTCTGCATAACAGAGAACGATGCTCATTGCTCCTGGTTGATTACAGAGGAGGTTGTTGCCATCTTTTATCGAGGCGAGCCCGAGCCCGCAGCCTTCAGCTATCGCATCGATGAGCTCGAAAGCATCGCCCTGAAGACGCTAACCTTACTCGTACGCTGGCTCGTACCGTACCGTCTACTGGCGTCACTCTCGCTGACATAATGGCATAGGGCGCTTGGCGCAATGGTTTGATCGTCAGAACCTCCTACCTCACACGCAGAATGGGTTCAGGCAGAGTTATCGTACGGATGACAACGCTCTCGTTCTGCGCTGTCTGATTGAAAGTGCACGAGCGACAAAGACCCCTCTCCACGTCGTGTTTGTGCATGTCACAGATACATTCCCCCCTACAAACGGTGACCTGCTCCAGGCCAAGCTTCATTGCATGCGGATCCCCGGGCCCATCGTCGACTGCTTGCGCAGCCTGTATCGCCGTATGTTCTACATCGTGCGAGCCACCGAGTGCTCCTCCGAAGTGTCCGAGGGCGATGTTGGCGCACCCATCGGCTGCTCTGCATCGCCTACTCTATGGAACCTCTTTATCGCCGACCTCGACCTGCCATCGCGCGACCACGACCCGATACAAGGGGGAGTACCCGTTTCGCTTCTTGCGCGTGCGGACAACCTGGCCATGGTATCGCGGGCTCCAGCGGGCTTACAGTCATGGCTTAGTTCGGTCTGTCGGTACTCCTGTATAGATCTATTTGTCTCGCACCCAGACAGGACGGTTCTCATGGTCTTCGGCGAGCCGCCGGCTGTGCTCCCGAGGTTCTTCTTAAACGGTGTTGAACCGGTGCACAAGGCTACATGGACTTATGTCGGCGTACGATTCACGGGCACCAGAATAACTTTCAACAGCACTACATTGAGCGTAGTAAGAATGCTCTTGCTGCGATTGTCACCGTCTTGGGCTTGGACTTTGATGTCAGCCGTCTGCTCCCTTGGCCCGCGCGCCTTCTATGGACGGCGCGGCCAGATGTATGCCCCACCACGGGGGGCTACATCATCCCAGATATAAGCAAGCTCGCGGATCCGCTCTGAGAGGCGCAGTTTATGTTCCTGAGGAGGATTCTCAGCGTAGGATTGTCGTCCCTGCACGCGCCGCTTTTGCACGGAGACGAGCATTGCCCCGCTATGCTTCTGCCGGGTGGCACTGGCACTTTACTGTCTACGCTTCGCGGTCTCCCTCCCCAACACGCACATGATCATCGCGGCGGCTTGTGAGTCGTACACCATGTCTTATGCTACGGGTCCGGGATGGATAGGGGACATAGCGTGCGCACTCAAGAATTGCCTGGCAACTGCGAGCATCCAGTTACCATCACTGACCAAACTCAAGCAGAAGGGCGCGGCTGACGCCCTCATCAGCCGCGTCTAGAAGGCCATGCGGGACTACCATCAATGGGAGATCAATCAGGGACTACCCGAAGCTCTTGAAGAATAGGCGAGAGCCTGCTATACGTGACGGGCCACTGAGGATTGCCGCAGTTGTCCACTTTTGCCCATATTTCAATGTTGTGCGTGAGGAACACCGTGCGTTGCACTCACTCTGCTAATACTCAGCCATCACCTGCTTGCGCTTGCGCTCGTTATGAGGACCTTTTGCTCGGCCGTCTATTTGTGCCGAGGGAACATCGACTTGGCCGTTTCTGCGCGGGAGCATTTAAATCACCCGAACGCGCCCTCCTGAAGTGTGTGCCGAACACGATATTGCCGCTCATACGTGCCTGACTCATTCCGCAGTTTAATCGCATACGTTCATATATGATCCCACCGTTGTCCGCTCTCCCTAAAGTAGCTGCGATGCGCACGCTTCTTGACTGGCCGGACGTTGTTTGCGTACTTGCAGCATTCACTCATGGCGTGCTGACCGTCTTCACTTGTGTCGAGTATAAGTGGCCGGCGGCCTATAACATTGCCCTGCAGCCTCATTGTCGTCAAGCATAAAATAAGCAGACACACTCTCGTGTTGCAGTATGTACGGGGTGTACATCAAGCGGCGATCATGTGCAACGGGTCGGTGGCGAACGCATAGGGCATTTGGAAATAGACGTCGTTGTCCATAGGCGGATCGATACCAGAACCAAATCTCGATGGCGTTAGACCGTGGACATCGTCGAACGAGAAAGAACCGCTCAGCCTGAGGAACGGGGACCAGCCGGTGGCGTGTTCCTGCTGGTCTCTAGGTGGGCTTATATTCTACACGTATGAAAGACGACCGAGCTCGACCTATGCTTCGGTTAGAGGTCCTGGGCCATGCGTGGTTACGGACTGTGCATGCTACGACGACACGTATACCACATAACTGTTATGTTCCGGTCGGCTTCTCGTGTGATAGTTGGGGCGCTGTAAAGGATTCAATCACTGCAGCCTTTGGTGCCCTTTAGCAACCCTGGCTTCAGAACGAAGTCCTCTCGGCTGCAATAAGCAGTGTCTTCTTGCACTTCTGGCAGCGATAGCGTGCCTTCTTGTGCTGACAAGGATGTGTGAAACGATGAGCCTGCATGTATTAGTCCTATCTATATTCTACTCCGCAATTTGGCATTATGCTAGCGTCGAGCGAGGATACGTGTGAATTCGAATCATGAAGCCATTGCAGTGCGTTGTAGTACAGTAGTCTGTGCCCGACGGAGATGGGCATACGCAATGAATGCGCCAGCGGAAACAGAAGGAAAGATGGGGATTGACAACTACTCACCTGGCGTATCCCAAATCTCACGTGGCCGCGTTTCTGATAGCGATCAGCATCAATCACACGACGAGTCCATGGCTCACCAAAACTTTCACCATCGACAACCATGGCGGAAGAGGCATTCCAGTACGCAATATCACCTACTTTACCTCGTCATCACAGTTCTGAACATGAGGTCAAGAACCCTTTTGACGTCCTCCATTGCATCTCGTTTCTCTACGCACGCGCTCTCCGGTGGAGCGCGTGGGGCGCGCATGCGATCTATGGATAACGACCTGGATGCATTAGAACAAGCAATTAGCCAGGCGCGGCGCACGCGAAACATGCAATCTTACACCTGCGCGCTTCCGCGCGAACTTCTCGTGCATGTGTTTGAGCACCTCAGAGAGATCTGGCCACCGCGACGCGAAAGCAAGAAGGAGGCCGTCTTCAATTCTGGTTGGATCACTGTAACTCATGTCTGCGCTTTTTGGAGGGAGGTGAGCTGTAAACCGAGCGCACTGGGCTTCTTTTGAACTGAGCAGATCGCAGGTCGCATTTGCTGTGCCCTCTCTATGGTCCGGAAAACCGATCGACGTCTTCGCTATCCCCTATCAATATATAGCCACGGTTCTGACGCTCGCTCGCTCGGCTACTCTCGATATTGAAGTGCGGTGCGAAGGGTCTTCAGCTTGGGCGCGAGCAGATCCCAGCATGAATGCATGGTTAACCCCTCCCATTCTTCGAAACGCGAGGCGGTTGTCCATCTGCGCAGACAATGCCCTTCTCGGCCACCTATGGCGAAGTCTTCCTGAGCATATGAACTTCTTACAAGAGCTAGAAGTCACGTCCTTTAAAGAGGAAGAGTTTGCGGAGCTACCCCGTCTTCTTTGCAACTTACCGTCGGTTGCACGCCTTACACTCCTGGACTGTCAAGTGCCTTGGCGATCCGCGCTTATGTCGCCACAGTTGACCGAACTACATATCACTAACAATCCCGCTGGCCCCCCTGTGCCTTATGACGACCTTCGTGATCTGCTATCTGTCCTGCAATCCCTCGAGTCGCTCGAGCTCAGAGGCGTAAATCCTCAGTTCAGCACTCCTCTCGACCAAATTCCCAATATCGACCTATCACCGCTCCTAAAGCAGATGATCACCTACACCGACTACAGCAGCGAGATAGCCACGAGCAATCTGATCCTCAACACCCTGCTGCAGACGCCGCCTCAATGTAATCGAACGATCAGCATTGACGGTGACCTCCTCGATTTTGACGGTCTGCTAGTTTCCTATGAAGATGAAGGCAATGTCGCCCCCTTCGCAGGAGTGATGTCTCGACTGCTACACCTCCTTTCCCTTGTTGACTACGAGGAGATGGAATTACGACACCTTGACCTGGAGGAATGCGCAATTAGGCTTGTGTCGACTTCCAAACCGGTTCATGACGGAACCATGCCTCGTCAGCGATCTTATGACTGCATAACTCGATTGCACGTCATGGTCACCTCCGATGCCGATTGCGTGAATCCCCACCTATATCTTCACTACGTTCCCGTCGACCGCCTTCATACCCTGTCCCTCGATGAGTCTGCCGCGGACACGCTCTCTGCTCATAACCGCTGGCCAGGGCTGCTCCGCGCAAAAGAACTCCGGACCGTCGTTCTTACTTCATCCTGGACCTGCCACGACTATTCCAATTTATTCGACGCGCTCCGCGAGGAGCACTTTGGCGGCGACAGTATTGATTCCTCTCACATCTTATTCCCGCGGATGGAACGACTGGCGCTCCCTCTATTCGATACCGAGACATGCAGCAGTAGCACGATCGCCGATCTCATCGATCTTGTCCACGCTCGACAACTCGCAGACGCGCCCTTGAGAGAGCTGCTCGTACCGGAGGGATGCAGGCATTGGGCCTCATGGGCCGCCCTTCAGACGATGGTGAAGGTTACATTCATTAACTATTTTCCGATCAGATTACCAGTTCTACCCACTTATACTGATTCATGATCCTTTACGATGTATTTGATACAGGCACTTTCTCTTCGCCTTTTACTCTACAAGATGAAGTTGACTACGCCATTTCTCGTATGCGTTCTGCACGACCCCGCTCTATACCAATGATCCCGCAGAGGTGACCCCCTGAGACTTGCTTGTACTTAGTGTATTGGATAAATGCTTCGGCAACTTTTGATGAAACGGTCAACGAATATATTTCTTTCCCGTTAACACTGACTTGTGAAGGAGAGAATGCAATATCTCTTTGACTCGAGCGTGTAGCCGCTCGGGGTGCCCGTAGGACAGGCAGAACATCATACACTCGAACGGCTTGTTATGCCGAATGCGACGGACGTATTCCCGCTACGATAGTAGTGCGTCTTGGTTTCACGAAAGCAACATCGCTTTTGGCTGGCGTTTGAGCGTGCCTGCAAATTGTGCCTGATGTCGTAAGGCCGTCGGACGCTCCGGCGGCTTCTAGGGTTAGGGTTGAACAGCAGCGACACAGCCTGGCTCCGATTCCCTTCATTCTACGCAGTAGGAGCACGGTATTGTGTTGGGAAATGATCATGTGCTTGATTTATACACTTGCCTGTGGGTGTCTCTGCACACATCTGCGGGCCGCCGGGACCTGCCAGGGCCACCATGTCATTGTCATATACTCCAATGACGGCCGTCAACCCCTTCCGAGGATCCGTGCAAGCTCGACGGTGCAGCTCACGATCTCTGTCGTATGCCGTATATCTCAGCTGCGCCGCCATACCTCTTCCTCGTCTCTCCTTTCCACCCTACATGAGGTGATGGTCTGCAGAAGAGGTAGGGGGGTTTGCAAACCATTCGGTGCGCGAATCCGAGAGGCGCGGAACGCGGCTCGAGGTGAGCGCACCTCGTCGATTTTGCACTGTGACGGCGTCCGTCTACTTTCCGACAGAGCTACTCCAGATGAGAAACCATGGTCTACCTGAAGCTCGCGAATGTGAAGAGGCTGCGTAGACTTTCCGAGAGTCACCCTGACGATCGTACATTGGAAACATGCACTCGTTCAATACAAGTGGTGACGCGAGAGAACTATTAGGTGACTAGAGAGTATACAAGGGCCACTCCGTGGGTCTCCGTAGAAATCTCCAGCGGTGCATTCGTTCAAGTTGTATTGAGCAAATTGGGTATACAACGGGCATGGTGAGCTCGCGCAAGAGTATAGACACGCCGTCGTGGCATGTAAGGACCTGGCGGAGATAGTATTTGCAGTACTGAAACACGCAGCGTGTCTGAGGCTCCTGCAGACAGGCCACACTCTCAAGTGCCGCGTGATCATCCCGCCGCTTCGAACTCGGACTGGCGCCAGTCTCGCGCGACGTTCACGAGCTTCGATGGAAAGGCGAGCCGCAAAGGCAGTCGATAGGTCAATGACCGTAGCGGGTTTCGCCGCATGCGACCCTATGACACTTATGATAGTACCCGTGCGCGATAGCATCTCGAGATGATACTTAATTCCGGCCCCCGGCGCCCTCGCACCCTGCCTTGGCTTATTGCGCTGCGATCCAATAGATGACCAATACAATGACCGCCCCGAACCGAGGATACGCGTATGTATGGATCAAGACGCTGCGGCCGAACCACATTGAATAACCCAGCACGTAGAACAGCTATAGCACTTTTCTAGAGAGAAGACCATACACCCGGCACCATTTTGTAACGACCTTCTGCCGAGGCATGACCAGAAGACAGCCCGGCAAGACGCGAAAGGCCATATTGGGTACTCCTCGCTATTCGCTGCTTCAGCGGTGCTCGGAGTACAAAGACTGTCTATTGACGATAAAATTACGTTTCCTCGCCAGCGCTCCGGCCGCTGACTTTGGCTAGCGAAAGGGACGGAGCAAGCTGGCGCGAAGGAGATGGAGAAACAAATTGCCGCCGAGAAGGGGATAAGCGAAGCCGCCGCTGCAACGACGGTAACTCGAAGACGCAAACAGAGCCGTTAAAGATCTTGATTGACATCATGCAGAACGGTGCTTTGAACCTAGTAGCGTTCAGTAGGAGCTTCACGCAGATAACGGCTCGCTCATCCGACACTCTCACTACAAAGGACCGAAGGCCGCAGGCAAACAGTGGCCAAGGAACCAATCACTTCAGCTTCCTACCGGTCTCGCAGCTTTCCCAGCGAGGTGCCTCCGGGATTGATCGCTCAAGTGCGGGCTTGACACTCTCTTCTACTTTATATTTGCCAACTCCAGACCGTATGTCTTCTTCCTCGCCGGGCGTGTTAACCTGCGCCGCAGCGCGTTGGAGAATGGCAAGGGAAATGAGAAGGCGACGCAGTATTCTGTCGTCTTGCTACTCTCAACTGTCAGCCAATGCTTGAGCCATGTTCATTAGCGGACACTTTTTCTGGCTCACTAGACATCATTACTCGGCCCTTCACGACCCGAAGGCGGCTGGGGGGCCGGAGGCCGCAGCAGCAGATGCGTCGGGTGCACTGCACACTAATGCTTGAACGCAAATGCCGATGCTCTTCGCAACCGTATCCGAATCGTCAAAAGTTTTGTCTTACACATGACAGGGCGACGCTTACTCTTGGCCCACAGTCATTCTCTTCTACACTACGCCGAGTCGGTGAAGTACAAGCTCAGGATCTTAAAGTGAAAGGTCCATCTTGACCTACCACAGATCCCACACGCGGTCTTTTATCTTATCGCCAGCTTCCTCCCAGTCTGCAGGTGCGGCGCGAAGCTGGCCCACCATAACCTGTCTCAGCTCCAGCACCTCTCGTGGATTTAGAAAGCGAGGGGAGCGGTGGCACATGAGTTATGGGTGAAGGCCTGGGAGTTTGACTAAGTCCTTCCTGAGTGAGATCTTGAGACCTCAACGACCTGGCAAAGGCTCTCGGCAGCATGAACGCGGACGATACGGCCTCGTCCATTTTTCTAAAGTTCTCGCCAATGTATCAAAGCTGCTACGCGCGGTCAACACAATTGATAACCCGTACTCCTGCCAAAAAGCATAGTTTGATACCAGTATCCCCCAGATCCAAAGAATATAGGAGTCCTCCTGCCTAACTCTGCTCCGGAAGAAAGTAGCTGACCGTCTGTATGCTATGAAAAAACGTCCAAAGATGGAGCACATTGCTACTGTCTCTCTACTGCTCATACATGAACTCGTATTCGTTAAGAAGTATGTCGGTTCGGCCGATACTGCGGTGGGTCGCGCTGTACGCTCACCCTTGGCTCACCCAGCTTGCCATCTTGTTCTCGCAATGTCATGCAGAAACTTCTCATGTCGTTCACATAAAGGAATTCTCAGTGCCATGGTCTAGTACAACCCGTCACTCCTGAGCGGGGGCGGTCTCGTTGCTCGTGCACATTCTGAAGCCGCTCGACCCCGACAACAAACGTAGTAGCCCTTCAGTCAACAGCAGCACCAGCAATTGACGCGCGAGTACTTCGGCATCCTACAGCTTGATTTACACCGTCAGGGTGTCCTCCAAGACAGATCCACATACCTGCAGCACATGGCCGGTCCCACCTGGAAGAAACGGGAATGAAATGCAACGCGTTGGGTGGACAAAGGCGAACGAGCCTCGCGGTGCGCATCCGGGAAAACGACCATCGAAGGTCCGCGGTCCAAGGTACATTTCATGTAGGGTGCGCACAGAGTGTATTTTTCTCACCTACGCAGCCAGTACTTGCTCTTCAATTCACGGAGGAATCACTTTCCATATGCGATGATGGTGGCCCCCACCCCCTGTGGACGTATCTTCTTGGTTTGCATTATATGTCTTGGGTGCTGGTTGACACAACGGTACACCGAGCGATCTTGGCTTCAAACTCAAACAGACCACAATTCTTGTCATCGCACTCAGGCAGCATCAGTGAGGAATTGCCTGGGACCATGGTTTGTCAGAATCAGTAGTAGTAGTAGTAGTAGTAGTTGACCACCAATAGGTCCCGTGCAAGATGACCCGTCGTTCTTTCATTGATACGATACCGTATGCGCAGCATCACAAGCTTTACGCACCTGGTGATACCCGTGAGTCTTCGTACCACATCTAGGCCATGGATCGTGCTGTCTAGTTTACGCCTGTCTGCCGATCCCACATGTCTTCTTCCTCATCGCTGACGCCGAACGTTCTGCAGCAGCATCAACACAGAAAATCACAGTTTTTTTCTGTCATGAACCAGTTGCCTCATTCGGTCTTCACGTCATCCCTGTCCTCTTCTCTTGAGTTCTTTTTACACACAGCGAGTCTGTGTCCCCGTGGCAATTGTGTTTTCAAACTGGTGACAGATACAACAATAAAAAAGCCATTACAGCAAATGACTGTTTCAACTGCGACCGTTGACAAAATTATCATAAGCGCGCGCTGCTATAGCTGATCTCGACCGTACCGTCACGAGTAGGCTGTGAAGCTCAAAGAAGAAATACGAGGGGGACCGCCTCTTGTTTGCTCGAGTTCGGCAAGCTTACACAGCGCGAACGCGTGCCTAAGACGAAGATAACACCTGAAATTGTATTCTGTGCCGTCAAAATGGTGTCCTCGCACCTACTCTATATTGTCTACGCGTCAGAAGCTGGCCATCGGTGCGGACCGGTTTTCCGTATTGTACACATAGAGTGTGAGTGACAAAGTGTGCGTCGAATGTGACACACAGGACTTTGGCTGTACGCTCTCCCGGCGCGGAGAACCTCACTAATCAAGAGTAAGGCGGTGAGAAGAATCACACGCAGAGATAAACAAGAGTCTGCCCGGAACGGGAACGGAAGAAATAGATATAGTAAAATCTGCGAACACGAGGTACATATACATGTTCGAAGCGTGTGAAGAGCTGTCAATGCCATGGTTGTAGGCTATAGGCTTCAATCAGCATACCCCATAAACGCAAGCCTCTGTGACAAGTCCTGCGGTGAAATTCTGCCGTCTAAGATCATGGCAGCGGCGCGGAGTCCCTGTACCCAATGTACGACAATCTCAGGTTGTCTGCTACGAGCACTTATGTAGAGGATACCTCGAATTATATCCAGAACGGCCAACTCATTTGTAAGCTCTTCAAATGAAGGATGTTGGGCTCGATGCCACTCATACAGTACTTGAGGTACATGGATACCCATACCAGCTCAATCTCATGGGTATGACGGAGCTCAACATTCTAACCATCAACGGTAAAAAGGACGTGCTGACGAAAAAAAGATAATCTGCTACGTCCAAACTGTTTGCATAGCTATCAGTCTGAGTATTATGCTCACGCCGTAAAACGAAACCGGACACCCATACTCTCCGACGGGGGGCGGTATATCGGATCCGATGCAACGAGCGCGTAAACTACAGGCATCCCAAAGCTCTGCGCGGCTGTAAGAGAGTACCAGTCAGCAATGAATAAGTGAACATGTCAAGCGCATGCGGCAAGTTGACGTAGTGAGAAAGACGCACAGTAACCCAAGGCAGCGCTTTTACTGGATACCCAAGACGGGACGCATGTAACGCTCCCATGGTCTCATTTTTGCGGCGAGACATGCAGTTTCTAGACGATTGCAATACTTCCATGCACCCGGAACTCCCTGAGGGGGTATGGTTCCCCACCAGTCCGTAAGAGACGCGCAAGCCGACCAATCCACGTTCTTCCCACACCACAGGTCGAATACCTCTTTTGGCCACGAGGGTGGGGGCGAGTTCCCAAACAGCAACGTATGTATAGCGCCTGTGATGCATCTATTGCTTCTCGGCGCCCTCATACTCCCGAAATTGAAGTAACAGCCAAACGTGGTCAGCTGAGGACACATAGTGGCAATCTGCTGAATGATGTCGGAGTCCCCATCTCCCAAAAGCCCTAGTGGAGGCTCGTATTCGGTTTGGGAGTCCCCCTCCAAGCTCCAATGCGGCCGAATATCCAAGACAAGACACTGCAGCATACTCAAAGGCGCGACGAGGGACAGTAAATCTTGATGGCTGACGTTCACTTCGGCGCCTTCTATAATGAGAGAGCGTAATCGCCTGGCGTTCTTGAGAGGGAGAAGATGTGAAAACTCCAAGGGAGACGAGTGTCGGCCCCTATCATCGATGTGGTCGCATTGAGGGCTCTCCAAGCTCACGCGAAGATCGTCAAGCCGCGGGCAGGTACTGATGACGTTGACTAGCAACTTTTCTACCTTTGGCGCTTCGACTCCAGGAATAAACCTTGATCGTGACCATCCAGATGTGGGAAGCTCTTCCCCACACACACAAATGTGTAGGGAGCTGATATTACGGAAACGATCGTAACGCACGCCAAAATGTTCGTTGGTCTTGTCAATTGGAGAGATAACCGTGAGTCCTTGCAAAGCGTCCCCGTAATGTTCCGGAAGATAGCTTTCGAAATGGTCGTGATAATAAGAAGCGGGCTTGATGGCGGCCGCGCGGCCGGCACAGCTCCAGTCGACATGACGAGGTGTTAATGCGCGTATGCTCTTCAGACCACGGAGATTGTATAATTCATGGAGAGTGCGTGGGGCAAAGAAGCACGGCGACATCTCCATGTCCTCAAGTTGCTTGAGGCACGGTATAACGTTGCTGACGGTTATGTCCAAGCAATCGTTTTGATCGGCGGTGGGCGAAGCATTTGCTCCCAGTTTCAACGTGCGAATGTTGGGTGCGAGCGCGAACAGAGTTTCCAAAACGGCCGTGAATGGTTTCGGGTCAGACTTGTGCACCAATGGGTCGACTCCGTAAATCCTCAGCTCCCGAACGCCCTCGTGAGCGAGTATTCGCGAGAGTGCAAGAACCTCTGGTCCTGGGGAGTATCTGAAGCGCAAGGCGAGCTTCTGTAGCTTGGGAAGAAACCGGCACTGGGCAGGAACGATACCCTGAATAAACTCGGCGACTTCGACGTGCACGTCGTCCGCGTCCAATGTCACGTTTCGAACGCTTTCAGCGTAACCGCGAACGACGGGCCATGGGGAAAAGACACGTCTTTCTTCTTTGAGCCGCTACGTTTCTGATCAGATGCCTTGTGATCCCAGAGAGCTTCAAACAACGAACGTATTGTTTACTGTCTTCGGAAAAGCGTAGTGGCGCCACAAACCGGAGGACCTCGAGACCGTCACTAGCGGACTGGCCGAGAAACATTTGGCCAATGCCTCTCCAAGACTGGCACACGTGCATGGCGCGAAATTGGTCGACCCGATTGTCGAGGTAGTAGAATATCATGAACAGGACGTCGACGGCGCACGATGAAGCTGCGGCCATAGCGGTACAAGCCGCTTCTGAAGACGTGATTGTCTTTGCCAGGCTCCGTTCGGAGGCATAAGAGTCCCTGAGACTTTGGCTTCGGTCGAAGCCGATTTAATTAATCTGAGGCTCCATCTCAGACTGGAGATGAGCCGCGAGGCGCGTCCGTTTCTTCCTCGCACCATGCTGTACTGACTTCCAGGTTAATTGGGAAGCAGAAAGGGGGCGTAATAAAGGCATTGACCTGGCCTTGTCACCTATCATACGGAGTAGGGTAACTGCAGGATGTATCTGTTCAATGACCATAGATGCTTAAGCGAGTAGCAACTGTCGGAGACGTACTTCTCTGTCGGAGACGTCATCGCTGCTCAGAGACTGTCACGCTCCTTGGGTGCTACCAGAGTTTGTTGCCGAAGGATTTGTACCCTCGAGCTCTTGCTTCTCCAGCCAAACGAGCTCGCCTCCCTTCTCAGACACTGTCAATCTCTCAACTACTCTCCATCTCTCTCATGCTACAATAGCATCCAACTTCTGTCGCAAAGACCAGCTCTTTTCGAGCGCTGCACCCGTGCACTCGACTGTCGAGCGCTTGCGACTTCCAGCTACACCTTCCTCAGGCAATTTCAGTTGGCTGCCGGGCTCGTCGGACTCGTCGGGAACAACCCGATTGCTTCTACAACGTTCAAGCCCGCAACACTTAGAACGTGGGCGGGTGCTTTCAAATGTCAAACAATAACACTGTCTCTCGGGAATGACACTCAAATGGCGCTACTGAGTTCTCATTACATTGAGTATTTCCCGGAGCATGTACAAGCTGCACTGGACTCGCAATACAGGCAGGCCTTTCGAACAGAGTGAAGACAGTTCAATCTAGCAGCGCATATAGCTGCATCGCTCAGATCAGGTCTGCCAAGTTGGATCGACAATTCCCAATAATTCAGCCCATAATGACACATTGTCTATGCTACAAGAAGAGATACGCGACACAGTACAGTCCAATACAGTGATAGATGCCATAAACGGATACACACGCAGAGAGTCCAGATGACAAGAAAACCACAGACAAACGATTGATCGGCGGCCATAGGGAGGCGGTGGTGGCGGCCGGTCAGGCGATCGTGCAAGGAGGAGATTAGTTGACCCGGTACTCGCATCGAGAGACACTTGAGGCGTACCTCCTTGCCCCTACTGTTTATATCTTCCACCTTTTGTCGCGGACTGCTCGGGGGGAGGCTAAGTAGAACGTCGGCGAGGCGACAAAGCCAGAAGGGCGCAGCAGACCAGAAACTGTAAGGGAGCAACGTCGGCCCCAGCTACATTAGCAGACGTCGGCCCGATGGGCACCCAAGGAAGAGAAGATGCCTCACCGCTGGCAAACCACGGGGTCATGCTGCGACGGCGGCAGTCCAGCCTTCGGCGAGTGTCATATAGAGATTAACAGCGCTGTCTAGCCACTGCGGGCGGCCGCGGCGGGCGACCTCTTGATGCGTTGCATGAACCTTGTAAGCATTGCGTGAAATCACTAAGCGCGACGTACTTCACGCGACCCTCATTTTGACGCGGATCGCGCTATGATTCGGGCAGTGATTCATGCCGCTGCCACTGAGAGAGAGAGGTGAGGCGCAAAAGGAGAGGCGGAGGGCGCATATGTCATGACGGGATAGTAGGAGTCAGAAGTAAGTCGCGTTCTGCCCGCGATGTCGCGACGCATCGCTCATGCGCTCATGGCTCGCGACGCGTCTCATTTTCGCACGCTCGACGCGACTGTGGCGCGCCTGCCGTTTGGCTTCATGCGTGTATGAATGGTGCTCCACTGGCGCGTAGGGAGCTACCCGTCTCCGTGCGTGGAATGGTACGAGGCAAGCGCGAACGAATACGGCGCGGTACAACTACATATATTGATGAACTTCCCACGTTCAGCCAACACTTTGGCTGCACCGCGTCGCGCGTTGATTGGACCTTGGTTTGATGTAATAGTAGTACACCATACACGGCTATACTTTGTATACGCCACCCCGTTTGAATACGTTGAGAAGGGGCACCGACATTGTCAGGCATCTCAATGTTGCGGTTTCATTCGCTGGCATTGCGAGGCGGCCTGTGCACGTCGCATCGCGTTTGAATCCCAGCTAACGGTGGCGTTGTCCTCAGCGTACTCACTCACAAGTAGGCATCGCCTGCGGCACGTTCCCACTCTAGCCTCTGTGTCTCAGCAAAAGCCATCACACTGCCAGTTTGCACTTCGATCCTGTCCTCATTGCCAGACGTCGCGCATGTGGGCAAAAAGTCTCCCTCGCCTTAGTCAATGATGTCCTTTAGATGTGGCGCCCATCCTCATCTCCCGCGTCGTTGCGGGCCGCCGTTTATGTAGATAACACACGCAAAGTCTAGGAAAGGCTTACCCTAAGCTCTCGTGTACCATACGCTCTGGGCAGTCACAAAAAGATTCAAACAAGGATAGGAAAGGGTGGCGACGACGACTCTGTAAAGGAGTCGGTTGCCATTGTGATACATCATGAATAATGAATAGCATTGTCAGGCATTTCTCATTCCTGGTTCAAGCATGTGAAGAGATACGTGAGCTATTGTGACGCATTGGCGGAAGTATATTAGATTTCCGGGGACGGGTCCTTAAGTAATCTCCCGCCCTTTCTGCCGCGCTTCTTGGTGCCGCGCTTCTTGGTTGAGCGTCCATGATTCTCATCCACAGACGCCACTTCCAGCCTGGCCCGTTTTGGAGCCCTTTCTGCAGAGGGCTGCGAGGTGGACTTTCCAAGGACGTGAGGCCTATGATTCCTTTTCATCGCGAACGTGGGACGGCCACTACGTTTGTCGACGTCGACGTCGATGTAAGACTTGGGATACAAGTTGTACATAGCCTTGAACTGGCTTATTGACGGGGCCGCTGGTGAACGCAACCGTCATTGAACGTTGCCATACAATCACAAACAGTTACAGACCGAGGACGCTCCCTTTCGCGATTGAGTCGATCTCGCTCGTGACTAGGAGATTATAATTGGCCTTTGCCTTCTTGCAATCGTTCAGAAGCTTCATGCATCTTGCCGGAAATCAGTTATGAGTGCCAATGTGACGGTTGCGGATATCAAAGACGCACTCTGCTACCCATGTTATCTCTTCATAATCGCACAAACGTGCAATAAGATTGTCCGGACGCTCGAACCATTGCACCAGTATCTGGCCGTTACTGTCATCACACAGAATTATGGCCGGCCAAGGCTCTTCCGTTTTCCAGGACGGAGGCAACACGAGTACAGCATCGCCAGGTTGCAGAGAACGGGGAGAGGAGAGGAGGTCACCGTTGACGTTGTGGTGTACCTGTATGGACGTAGGGCATCCCTCTTTCCCGTACTTCTTCCTGTAGCAGAGAAGACGCTCAGACCATATACAAAGTTGATTGAAACCGTGTGATACATGGCTTACAGATTCTCCTGAACCCTGGGGTGCGAAGCAAGAGACACCGGCTCATGCTCAGTGGTCTCGATGTCCTCTGGAGTAGACCCGCGTCCCGTGCGCGTGAGCGAAGACTCCCAATGACGGCCGAGATAGGCGCCAACGTCCTCATCCTCATCCTCATCCCCATCCCCATCCTCATCCTCATCCTCATCCTCATTCTTATCCTCATTCCCATCCTCATCCTCATCCTCATCCTCATCCTGGTCCTCATCCTGGTCCTGGTCCTCGTCCTCAGCCTCAGCCTCATCCTCGTCTCGATCCTGCTGGCCGTCCTGATCCTGTTCTTCTTCCGTGCTCTCTTCAGATGGCGTTGGATAGACGACATAGCGCTGGTCCGGTGGGGTAGCTGACATAGAAGAAGTGAAGGTTGTTGATGTTGTAGGCGAGACGTCGGTGTATCACAGCTCGCTACTTGCGGTCGCCTTGTTATTTACGCTGGGGATGCTACGCACGCGTAAGACATAGGTCCAGTGATGATTAAAACATCAAATGGCGTACCGTGCAGGCTCTACAAACAAGGAGAGCCGAATGCAGTATGCGTGATGTCTGGGGGAGGAGTGGGGTGGAGAAGAATGCACCAGGCCTGGTGATGGTAGTGGAAGCACGCACGCGCGGGGTCGGAGATCAGAGAGTATTCCCAGCGGGTTCTCGCGCCGAGGAGCGAAGAGCTCTGAAGAGGTGATCGCTCCACAGTGACACAGCGCTCGGAGTTGCAACGCCGCCCGCGCTGTCTGCGCGACCTCGTCCGTCCCGGTAAGCCCGGAAGCCCGCTGTCGTGCTCTGTAGACCTGCGCGTCTCTACGCATATAATTTTCTTGGCACAGTACGGCGGGGACGGCGGGTAGACCGAGAAAGTCGAACCTAGCAAGACGCGGCGATCAGCAAGGTTTGAAAACTCCGCGCTCGCAGAGGCTCGAATTCGGCGGTTGAGTATGCTCTCTATTGCACCTCGAGGACTGCGGGGCCACATCTCACGTGGGACGAAACGAATCCGCCTGACGCTCGCAGTGAGAGAGTGGGAGTTCCTTTTACCTACGACAATGTCACCGGAAGAGACATATAATGCCGCTTTCCAAAATACATGACTTGTGGGCAAGCTATTCGAACCGGCGGTCGCGGTGAGAGACGGACCAACTCGAATCCAAAATGACGTGATTGAAATGTCATTGTTAACTCTTGGGTGCTCGACTCGCACTATTGCAGAACGACTGACGGGTGCTATCACCTTGTTTGTGCATCTTAGCAGGCTTGGATACTCCACACAAGTTTGTATGCGCTCGGCTGCCGCTGATAACCCCTATCACGCTTCGGCACATCGAGATCTTGCATCAACACTGATTTCATCTCCTCATCCAATCCCAACGCTCTCAGCCCTTCATTTTCCATGCTGGAGTAGTGCACTTAAGCTTACTCGTGTGCACTGTGCAAGATACGGCGAGCTCGGCTAGCGTGTACAGGTTAACGTGCGATGACGGGCTGATTGGGTCGGAGTCACTCCCGTCTCCAGCCAGAGGAGACCTTTCGTGTCAGCAGAACGTGGGCTCAACTAGACAACCACTCTGTCTTGTGCACATCAGGGGTTTTTACCTACACATTCTTTTGCTCGAAACACATCGGCGTTTCTGGGAGGGAGGGTGTGTCTTTCACACTCTTGGCCTTCTTCCTCGAACGTGGATATCAGCTTCTCCCACTCTCCTGTTCCATGTGAGCTTCAAAGTTAGCATCCCCGATTACCATTATGCTCTTATGGCAGGTCACGAATTACAAAGTCGATTCCTTTTTGGCCGCGCAGCTCCTGACTTTCTCGGTCTCAAACCTCACTCCCTACACTCAGGAAGCCTGCCATCTACTCTTCTCGACATCTTATCCACTACTCCACATCTAGAAATATCTTCTCTCAGGACCTTTGGAATCGTTTGTTGGCTTTGTCCTAGACTCTACCCAATCTTATCACGTGTCTTGGCTGTTCAGGTGAGTCCAGCCAAATGCGTTTTCGCCACCAGCGCCTCGGGAATCTCCATCGTAACCGAACTTGCGGGCGAGATCAATTACAGACATGTCATACGCAAGGCTCCAACATAATTCGGGCTGCATTTGGCGGCCTCGACCTGCGGGATCTGGGCCTCGAACGTAAGTGGTGTAAATGCCATGCCGCACATGCCAGGCGACATCCTGCCGGTGTATTGCAGTTTCAATTGCTCACAGCGTCAACTAATGAGGAATGTCCACAGATGATTGCGCAGATCTGTTTGGCCGTGAAAGAGACGCTATGAGGGGCTTTAGGTGTGATGACCTGGTGAGCGATGAGAAAGCGGTGTTTGCGTAATCGGTGAGCAAGACCGCCGACGTGATACCGGACATGAGCTTGACCTCGTTCCACGGCCAAAAATGACCACACATTTCCACATACTCAGTTACGTCATCCCAGTACAAATACTATCTAATTACTCACACCCATATGACCGATCATCCTTGCGACTTCCTCATTGCTTACACCATCAACCCACTCATTCATGTACTTACACGGTTAATGACACTTGCGCTCACTACTTTCTATCGTCCGAGATCTGGCTCATCGAGATTCTCGGGTACTGTACTGGCATTCAACATCTACATCCTTTCTTCCGCTTCGTTCTAGATTTCGGGCCAAGTTTGCCATATTTTGCAATGTGTCAGGAGATGAGATAGAGAAAGATCACAGCATAACCAATGCAGCTCCTTCCTGACGGCATCAGATTCAGAAGTTACGAGCATGCCAAGTACTCTTGCGACCGAACCCTTTCCGGACACCCATGCACCAGCTCACGGTAGAAGCTCACGGTGAGGGCTAATGGCGCGGAAGATGCGGCGGGGTGATGTAGGTGAGCGTCTACTTGACGATAACGCATTGATGCAGCACAAGTGGACCTTTCCGATAGCCTTTTTAGCTACTCTGATTCTGTGACCATGACCGTAGCTCTGATGCATTCAGGACGTCGTTAGCAAACTTTGCGAAAGATTCAGTGAGGTCGACCTGCTGGAAGGTAATCAGCACCCAGTCCTGATCTCGGAGCGGCGTCAACACGACGACTTCTTCCTAGCAGATGTTTACTCTCAACGCAATCAGCTCCGCACGGCCGGCACACAAAACAAGTGCATGCTCTAGTGTCAGAGTTGACATTGAAACTTCCCTTTCTCTTTAACCCACACTGTTTATTGCCTCTATCGGAGAAGGCTCTGCAGAGAGACGGAAAGAAATTGTCGCAAGACTTATGGGGACCGGTGAGTCCGTGCCGGCCATTGCCAGCACCCAGCGAGCGCCTGGCGAGGGTCTGGTCACTGGGTGACCAGGCCCGTGCGTGGTGGCCAGCGGCTCGCCAGCTGGTCGCCAGCCGGTCGCCAGAACATGAGCTGCAGGTGGAACGCGCTGATTGCTCTCGCCGAACGCTCAAGAAAATATCAGAAATTGATATTTTAATCATTTAAAGATTCTTTCAGAGGATATGGGCTGGTGAACACCGCTTGCACAGACTCTGGTGACCGTCTGAGCACCGTCTGGCCACCAGCTGGCGACCCGGACGCGATCAGCTGACCGCGCCTGGTCACTGAGTGCCAGAGGCTGCGCACGGTTGACACGGACTCACCGGGCCCAAAAGTTTTTTTGCGACAAGGGTAGACTCAAGCATATCAAAATCAGGGTTAAGGTTAGCACAACGCCGCCGCAACACGCGGGAGCGCACCTAGTCCAGAATCACTTTCATCGCCGCTTGGCGCGGCTGCTTCCGCATCATTCTCCCGAGACCGTGCCCGCTAAGGAAGGGCGCACTCAAAACCTGCGTCATTGTATGACCTGCACGTGGGAACCTCACAGCGCATCTGCAAAGGCGAGACAGCCTACCAAGCCGTCCCGAGCCCCCCAGGTATCCCAGTTCTCAGTGCGCAGTATTCAGCGGTCTTGTTTGAATCCTACGGTGAAGAGCGAGCGAAATGGGTGCTCGACGTTGTCGTACTACATGAGAGATTCTTTCACGTGCCGGTCATATAATGACGTAGGTTCTGAGTGCGCCCTTCCTCACTAACGGTTGTGACTCGGATATAGTCAAAAGGGTAGTCATTCCGCTACCGTATTGCCTCTTACGTTGCATACTCGGTAGTGACGGGGCCGATGCAAGGCAGAAAGACTGGGATCCACGCAAGAAGAGCATCCTTTGAGCTCAATGAGAACTCACCACTCTTCGACCAAGACTCGATCGCCCACGATCACAAAGAAGCCCCCCTTGAGTCTCATTGGCATACCTCCTGCGTGAAGTGGGGACAGGTAATCGACAGCAGCAGCACCAGTGGGCCGAGGAGCAAGAGTTAGGCCTCACGTAAACGCATCAAAGCCTGGGTCGCCTTGCTTCTTCGTACGTGGGTATTCCTGAGCAGCATGTAAGGAGCAGTTAGCCAATGAAACACATTGGTAGCGTGCCTAGAGATGTGTGATCTGCTTTGCGCGACGAAGTGCTCGCTCGCGAGCAGTCACACAAACTCTGCGGCTCTTCATGTCACGCAGATTCGGGTAATGGATGAGCTGCATTGGAGTCTTCTTCGGCGGCCGGCGCTTATTTGACTATATCCGATTCGTCATGGGATGTAATTGCGACAGTTCCATCACGTCTACAAGAAGCTGTGCGCGTAGCACCTCATTTAAACGATTGACATGCCATCGACAGTACCAGTATGGTGTATTACTGCGGCCAAGAGCATCTCGGTGGGCTCAGCGGCGAGAATGTCTGTGAGGGTGTATGCAGAACTAACCAATCAACCCAAATGAATAGTGTCAAAGAGCGCTTTCTGCTCCAGGGACGCGACGTGTACCAGATGTTCCGGTAGCTACTCGAGGGCGTGACGTAGGTAGAACGTGGCTTACCAACGGTGGGTAACTCCACGACAGGGATGAAAGGCGACTATCATTGGGCAAATGGATACATGTTGTGCTAAGCAGGGAGCGCAATGTGGGTGAAGAAAACATTGAGGGGGACTCAAAGTCAGCTCTCTCGATATTGTCACCAGCGAGCGTAATAGAACAGAGCCGGTGAGAACTTCATGCGCGTGGGGCGTGCGCCGCGTCACAAAACCGCAAGTGTTTCAGCGCAAGCCTCGCTAGTCACATCTTCAGCGCATCTTGAGATTTGGGACCGTGGGGGTGAGTGACACAATGGAGATTCCAGAACCAGGCCATGGCTTGCAAAGTGCATTGAGCGCGGGCGGCCTGGCCGTAAGGGGCATATCGTCAAGACTAAATCGGGTTAAAGGTGTAATCAGCCGCAAAAAAACAGACGTTAGATTGTGTGCATACAGTGTCAAACAGCTAAGGGATGGAGTCGCGTCA